GACCTCCTAATATAAATTGTTAAAAAATGTTCATGTCACATGGGGCCGTGTCTAATTTTAATTAAACCCGAATCGGGATGAATAATACTTAAAAAAAATGGCTCTAAATTTTTGTGTATTGTAGGCCTCGTTCATTGGTTGAGTTTTTAGTTTTAAATGGTTGAGTTTTTAGTTTTAAATTTTTACAGTAAATTTTTTTTTAGAAAATATCATTTAATTTTTTTTTATTATAGTGAAAATTTTTTAAAAATATTATATCTTAACTCAAATTAAAAACTTAAATTAAAAATTTGAATGGCAACGATAATGATACGTTGGATTGGCCATTACTACGTTGGATTGGCCATTACTTGGATCTTGGTTTGAATGTTTTGTTACGTTGATTATTTGATTATTTGATCATTTGACTGATCAATGGGTGGGGTCCGACTACTGATGGGACCCAACTGTGTGAGATGGTACTTCCGTGCCGTCACTCACAATATGTACAACAAGATTTCCCGATGGACCCATCTCTTAATTACGTATCTATTTTCAGAAGAAAAAGGTTTTGAAAGTTAAGATTTATTAGTAGAATTTTGTCTCTTCTGTTTGCTTTATAGTGGTGGTCTCTGATTACCCTTTTATGTACTACCACTAACTGTGAACTTATGTATATATATCTCTTTTACGTGTTGATTAGTAATTTTTCTTTTTTGCCTTGCAGTAGCTCAGTTCAGTGCCACTGAACTTTCTGATTGCAGCTTTTGATTTTGATTTTCTTTTTCTTTTTCTTTAGTATCACGGAATGCAGCAGGGAACACTTGCAGTGGTGGATTCCATGGAGCAGGCCAAGGGAAAAACTGGGGACCAAAAGGTTTTTCACATGCTCTTAACTTCTCTCTCTATTTTTTTGTTTCTTGTGATTATTTGTTATTTTATTTCTTGTGTTATTCTGAATTTAGTCTGGTCACCGAATTTGCAGACACTTCGTAGGCTGGCGCAGAATCGAGAAGCAGCGAGGAAGAGTCGTCTGAGGAAGAAAGTAATGTATCTCTTCTTAATTTCTATGACTTAACTGCCATATGAATAATAGAGTTCTATGATATCTTGCTACGCTCATTGTGAACATTATTATAGAATGTAAAAGGTAAATTTTTTTTTTCCTAATGACATGGTAATGTTTTTGCTGTGTTATGCTTGCTAAGTTGTGATTTTTCAGTTAAAAACAAAAAAGAGAAAAATTGACATAACCAAGCATGGCTTTAGAATGTTCTACAACTTTACACTCATTAGGCTCATTCGTGACTAGTGGAATAGATGAATAAAGAATGCACTAATTGGCAGCTACACAATATGTAAACGTTGTCAATGCGACTTATTCTAAATACGAATCCCTAAATTTGGAAAATTTTAAAAAAAGTTGCAGCCTTTTCTGTTGAAAAATGAAAAATGGGAATGTCTTAAGTTAATGAATGGAACATATTTGGATCATTTATAGGTTTTGGTTTTGGATAGGCTTATGTTCAGCAGCTGGAGAATAGTCGACTTAGGCTTTCGCAACTAGAGCAAGAGCTTCAACGAGCACGGCAGCAGGTACACGATTTTAAGATTTCTCTTAATTATTCGTGTCGTTATTATTATTACTATTATTATTATCATTATCATTGTTATTATATCTCTCTGTCATAGTTAAAACTCTTTCCTTCTTGGATTTGATATTCCAATGCAGGGTATGTTTATTGCATCTGGATTTTCAGGTGATCACAATCAGTTAATGGTTGGAAATGGTGCGTATTTGAATGGTTGTGCATCTTTCATTAGAATCTTCAGTTTTCAGTGTTCTTGTGAGTTAGAAAACATTGAAAAAGTTTGTCAGTTGGAAAGTTGAAATTGGCTGATCAAATTCTTGTATCGCTGAAAAGTTTAGTATTTGAACTTTGCATATTTCTCAGATGTAAAATAGCTTTCTAAAAGAATTACGACTTTGTTTTGTGCTCTAATCCTTTTAAGTCCTTTGGATGAACTCATTCCCTGAGCAATACTTGACCTTCATACACTACGGAGAATGTGTTGCACCTTGTCACATGGTTTCACAATTTCAATTTCCAGGGGCGCTTACATTTGACTTGGACTACACACGCTGGCTTGACGAAAATCAGCGGTTGGTAAATGATCTAAGATCAGCTGTAAATTCTCATATGGGCGACAATGAATTGCATGTTCTTGTCGACGGAGTGATGTCCCACTACGACGAACTATTCAGGCTGAAGACCATTGGAGCCAAGGCTGATGTGTTCCACATGCTCTCTGGCATGTGGAAGACCCCCGCTGAGAGGTGTTTCATGTGGTTAGGCGGATTTCGTTCATCTGAAGTTCTAAAGGGAGTCTTTTTCTTCCCTCTTTTTTTTTATTCAATTATCATTTTGCTTATGGTTTTTTGTTTGATTGTTTCTTATGTTGGAGATTCAGATACTTGGGAACCACCTTGAGCCTTTAACGGATCAACAGTTGATGGGCATATGTAATCTGCAGCAATCTTCTCAACAAGCCGAAGATGCCTTGTCACAAGGCATGGAAGCTCTCCAGCAATCCCTTGTGGAAACCCTTTCCTCAACTACTCTTGGGCCTGCTGGATCGGGAAATGTCGCCGACTACATGGGCCAAATGGCTATCGCCATGGGAAAACTTGCCACACTGGAGAACTTCCTTTACCAGGTACGACTCAACTTTTATTAGCATGTCATGTGTTAAAAAAATGGAGAATACTGTGATAGGGTAGGGAAAAAATCCCACTAGTGAGATAGTTTGTAAGTGTGAGATTGTGTTCGAACTATATCAGATTATGAAGAGTATAACAAATTAACGAAACTTTATGAAAATATGATGGTTAAACACTGTATCCTGCCTGCAAGGAAATTTTTTCATTACCTGACCACAGAATTCTCCTAATAATATCAAGAAAAACTTCCTATTGAAATATCCACAATCATTGGTCTTCTTTATCTGTTAGGCTGACCTTTTGAGGCAGCAAACTCTACAACAAATGCATCGCATTCTTACAACTCGCCAGGCTGCTCGCGCACTTCTGGTCATTAGTGATTACTTCTCGCGTCTCCGAGCACTCAGTTCGTTATGGTTGGCGCGTCCCAGGGATTAAAAATCACTCTCCGGTCAGCTCTGCCATGTGACAAAACAAGCCAAATATGTTGGAAGAGCAACAACAGAGATGGAAGAAAGATGGTAAACCTCTTCTAGACGCTGCCCAAAATCGTAATTAGCATGGAACATGATCATAGGTTAGATCCTGTACATGGCTTCGTAGGAAGATGACCTTTGACCTAAATGAGGAATTATCAATGGTTTTAAGTTTTCTTCTTTTTTCTCTATTGGGTAAGAAGCAATTGATGTGTGACCCATTTTCACCTCATGGTGTTAGCCTATACTAACTTTATCAGATAGTGCTATTATGGTGATCTTTAAAAGTTTTTGAAATTTAACGTTTGCAAAAGGTTGTCAAAAAAAGGGGAAAAAAAAAAAAAAAAAAAAGAGCTAGAAGCTTGCTTCATTGATTATTATGCTCGGATGTGTAGTCACACTTTCTTCTTTGACTACTCTACTGGTGATCATTTCTGTTGATGTCAATTTTATTTTTATCACAAAAAATAAAAAGTATAAAAATAATATATTTAATATATTGTTTTTATTTGTGCTCTAATGTATAATGTTGCTTTAAATACTATATATACTTTTTGACATCATCATTCAGTTTTTTTGAAAGGTGAAAAAATTAAATAAATTTGAAATGAAAATAATCCAACATATTTATTTAACCTCCCAATCCTTTGAAAGGTGATCTCACTCATTCAACACATTTGATCCTCCAACGGAGAACCATATGAAAGTTGAAAAAATAAAACAATTTTGAAATGAAAATAATCCAACATTTTTATTTAACACACTCCCCAATCTTTTGAAAGGTGACCGACCTTTCTCATTCCACAGAGAACGATATAAAAATTGAAAAAAATAAAATAATTTTAAAATGAAAATAATCTAACATTTTTAGTGATCTCACTCATTCTACATTTTTATTTAACATGCGCAATTGCCAATCACCCAATTCTTGCACTCGACCAACTATTGGGGGGCGACAATGTGATGGTTAAGAATCCACCATTGATTCTCCATATTCCAATGCTGTGTGGATAGCTTGATATATGGGATGGTTTGTATTATAAGAAAATATAACAGAAGTGATTTTTTTTTCTTTAAAATGTTTTCTATTATAATTATATGTAGTGTACATAATTTTGATTAAAAAGGGTATTTTGTATATCTATTCCTTAATTTTTCAAGATTCACAAGTTATCTGCTAAAATTTTATTTTTAGTAAATCATTCTTGATTCTTGCTACAAAATACTTTCAAATCGATGATGCAAAAATTTACAAGTAAACTCATCGTGCACGTACACAAGGTCATTTGAAAGAAGAAACTTAAATTTAAAATGACAATCAAAGTGCATCATGATACATGCATAAAGGCGTTGTCTTCTAAATTTTCATATGAATTACCGATTTGGGATTCTATGCAACAGTTTATTAAACTAGATAGTAATTTACTAGAACTAAAAATTTTGGGAAAACTTGTCAATTTAGTAAAAGTTTAGGATAAAAAGTTAAAAACACTAAAAAAAAAAAAGTTAAAAGAAGCGAAATAGCAAATCTAATAAGGTACTTAGTAAATTATGAAATACTTTTTTAAAATAGGTAAATTATGACATAATTTAATATCTTAGGTCTCCCAACACTATTAAAGTTCAAAAATACCCCTTAACTATTTTTCCTTCCCACATCTCTCTCCTTCCTCCCTCTGTTAAGATCTGTCATGATCGACAATAGCGACCGGTAAATACGGTACCGGATATCGTATTTACCCAAAAATCTAACGTGCGACCATACCTAGAAATATCATATTTACTTAGAATTCATACCGGCGTCAGGGCCATCGACTATAAATATGGTAAATACCATATTTGTTAGAAATCTGTCTATTCGCGCCGGCAACCGATAAATATTGTATTTATCATAAAATACAGTATTTACCCGAGCATCGACGATCGATAGATATCATATTTATCGGGAAATATCTTCCTTACCTCAAAGTACTGTATTTACTTGGAAGTTTGGCTACTAGCGCCGACAATAGTAAACACCATATTTACTCAAACATATTGTATTTACCCAAAAATTTGATCCTCACCTCGACAACTAATAAATCTTATATTTATGTGTAAATATTAAATTTACTAGTAAATATGATATTCACTATATTTTTGTGTGCGTGTTATTAAGAAAAAATTTTAGAAAAATAAAAAATAAAAAGGGTTATTTACAAAATTTTCTTCCATAATTATTTAATTATGAGGCAAACGGCGAGTCGTGATCTCACGATCGTGATAGTGCTGTTTGAGATCCGGTTTTGATATTCTTTGGTGGGGTTTGGTTATTTACAAAAATAAAAAGGGTTTTGATATTATTTGAGATCCGGTTTTGTTTTTGGTATCATAAATCATAAACCCTAATTCTCCCTACAAACAAGCAAAGATTCTCTCGGAGTTTTCTTCTCTTTCTGGTCCAAAATGGAGGAACGTGAAGAACAGGCCTTGTCTGCAAATTCGAAAACCGAACGCGAAGCCCTAACTCTCTGTGAAGAGTGCAAAGTGAAGGAATCGAAATACAAATGCCCTGGTTGCTCTCTTCGCTCTTGTAGCCTCCCCTGCGTCAAATCACACAAACAACGAACCGGTTGTACCGGCAAGAGCAACCGGACGGAGTTCGTCCCTCTTTCTCAGTTCGACGACAATCAGCTTCTCTCCGGTAACAATATCTGCTACTTTGATTCGAATTTTCAGAAATTTTTTTCAAAAGTTTTCTTTTATATGTGTTTCTGGATATTTTTAAAGGGTAAATTTCATAGCTTTAGTTTGCTGTAATTTCTGGAAGAAGTTCGATATATTTTCTTCAAATTTCAGAGTTTGATTTTTTTTTTTTGAGGTTTTGTCAATGCATATAAAGTGCTTTAGGAAATTTTCTTTGTTATTTCAAGAAGAAGGAAATTTTACATGCGTATCCTAATAAAATGCCTTTTGGTCTACACTATTTTGTTACTGAATTTTTGGTAATGCTTATTATTTTTTGGTGCTAAGGATTGAGTATTTGTTTTTGTTTCCTATTATTAGCCTTATTGCTTCTAATTTTGATAAGTTCATTTTGTAGATTACAATTTGCTTGAGGAAGTAAAAAGGGTTGCTGAATCAGCTCAAAGAATGAGAAACAAGCTGTGCAGATATAACTGTTTCAGGCTACCATTTCACCTTAGAAGCGTTCGGAATGCCGCTGCAAGTCGGAGAACGAAACTCCTTTTTCTTTCAGGTGGCATGTCGAAAAGAGAGACGAATCAAACTCGATATGATCAGAGGTTAAATCTCATAAGGGTTTCCACCATTATTCAAATGATCATGTTTTTCACGTGTTATGTAGGAACTTATTATTCTGGTCAATGAAGGGAAAGATTGTAGTTCTTCGGTTTGTCATTTTATATATTTCCTTGAGGCTGGGATTTAGATTTAGCTTCCAGGGTTAGTGAAGTCCTTAAGAAAATTGCAAATATAGATGCTTTGAGATTGGTTTCTTCATTAATTTTTATGATTTCTGTTTGTCTGATTTGCTTTAGGAAGAAGTGTATCTACTGGACGATTGAGTGGCGATTCCATTCAACCGATGTTGTGCTAGTTGACCACGGGTGAGCAAATTACTAGCTTTTTTTATGCAATGTGGTAGTGTTTTACTTTCTTGCTAATTATTCTAAGCTTGGGTGGTACTTGAGAGCTGAAATATTTGATGCCGATGCAGAGTAAACGAAAACACGACCATCCGCTCCATTATTGGGAACCATCTAAAACCTGGCCCTTGGAATCATAAATTGAAGCAATTTTGTGACGAAGAGCTGGATTCTCTCAAGTTCTTTATTTGTAAATATCACAAGGTTTGTTTATATACTTATCTTTTCTGCATTTAAAAAAAGACGTGCCAACCGCTAACGTAGTCTATAACCAATTCATTTTGTTCCAGTCTAATATAAAAGGTGGATTTTAGTTGTTTATATTCATTTGATTTTACCAAAAGAAAAAGAAGAAAAAATGGTGCAAAATTGTACTTACTCGATGGTTATTCTGTAATTTATTTTGATTATATAACAAATACCTCCTATTGAAATAAGCTTCTCGTTTTTGGGTTTTATTTCAGAGTGCAAAGTCACCTTTTTATGAGTTGGATTCTAAGGCTCCATTGAGGCAGCAACTGACAAATATGTTGATCTTAGAGTATCCCATCATTTATGTTTTTCTCCCTTCACACAGTATTGATTTTGAGGTCATTAAACAAGCTCGTTCTGCCATGCACAAACCAGAGTTTAGAAGTTCGGAAAGCAATAATCATTTGAGCCCAGGAGGTATTCCTTTTAAGGAGGAGGAAATAAAAGAAGATGAAGGCTTGTTGGCTCCTAGAGTGTTTGATCTCATGAAGCGTGAGAATTCAGCTTCCCCAAATAAGTTTGCTCGTCGAAATAGCTCCGAGAAAGTATCAAACAACTCATCAGAGAGAACCTTGTCTGCCGGAGTTGCAGGAGGAAGTGGTTCACATTCTGGCTCCAATACCAATGAGCAATTTATTTTCGACGACATAGATTTTGATTTCGATCAAGGGTTAATAGATGCATACTCGGATCTCATTGCTGAAATTAATCCCGATGACTTTCTCAATTTTGAAGGTGTACTTACCAAGGAAGTAGGGTCGGGAGAAAGACAATATTCATGCGTTGGGGAAGACTTCCTAGCAGCGGATGACTTAGAAGAGGGAGAGATTCTAGAATGAATTGACGAATTACAATACTTATAATAATCGTCAAAACGGAAGTAGAAGCAAAATTTTGAGTTCTGGCCATCTTAACTTATTCCTGTGTGATTGTCTTCAATTTTCTGGAGGTATTACTGGGAGTCTTTCTCGTGTGTTTAGCCTTGTCCACTTGTAAAGGGGCATACCGATTGTAAGCTGCAGGGTTTTATTTGCAAAGTTTCTCAAAGTTCAAACATCTTTTGAGATTTGTGCCCGTAGTTAACCTGTGCATATGATGAGAAGTGCATGTAGTCCGTTCTATCTAATTTTTCTTAAGTGTTAATGATTGGAGTCAAATTGCTGTAGTCTACAAGTATGGGGACAATAGTTAAAATTAAAAGTTCAAAAACCACTTTATCAAAACACGAAAAGTACAAGGGGCATTTGTGCTAAATACCAAATCCCAAACGACAGCCTCGGGGAAAACAAGATATTAATTAGGAAAACAAGATATTAATTAAGGGCCGTTTAGTTCGCTGATTTGAGTTTTGAGTTTTTAATTTGAGTTGAGATGTGATTTTATGTGAGTTTTTTATTATAGTAAAAAAAATTAGATGTGATTGTTTATGATAATTTTTTACTGTAATAAATCTAAAGTTTTTACTATAGTAATTTAAATGTGACTGTTTTTTAAATTTTTTTACTGTAATAAAACTCGAATTTAATCTAAACTTAAATAGGTGAAATGAACATGAGTAGGTGAAATGAACATGAGTATCAAATAACACCGTCAAATGAACAAGACCATCAAGAAATGAATTCAGAAAGCGACAATAACTGCTGTAAAAGAAAAGAAAATGATAGTTACTGAAGACGACAACCTTATGAGAAACGACATGACACTCTAACACGGCACTACGTTATTTTATTTTATTTTATTTTATTTTTGAGCAACACGGCACTACGTTAATCATGCGAGGATAAGTAAACAACAAAATAATATGATTGAAAAAATGAGGAAACAAAAATAAGAAAACGACAAAATGATTCATCGGAAACAACACTACGTGAAAACTACTGGCACATCCTTCAAAAAAAAAAACTACTAGCATATAAGCCACATGAGATTTTAGTATATTCACCTTTGAACTTAGTGTAATTTAGGGCCCGTTCAGTTTACTGATTCGAGTTTTTAATTTGAGTTGAGATGTGATTTTATGTGAGAGCTTTTTACTGTAGCAAAAATTTAGATGTGATTGTTTCTGAAAACTTTTTACTGAAGTAAAACTTGAATTCTAAACTCGAATCAGTGAAATGAACGAGGCTTATGAATTATCGCTTAAATTTTTAATTTTAACAATTAATTTTTAAATTTTTTCAATTGTTTTAATTAAACACATTTAAGTAATGAGTGTTAAATTTTGGATGGAATTTAATAAAATGATTATTTAAATAGTAGTAAATAAATAATTAAAATAAGAAAAAAATGAAAAAAAATGAGTTTTATTTTGATAGAAAAGAAATTCATTGAAATAGGAAAGAAGCTACGAGACAGAGGGGTTGTACAAAACCGCAGCAAAGGGGGGAAGAAGCCTAAGAGACGGAGCCTCCAAAAGAAAGATCCAAACCCTAATGCTTTGTTTGGTAAGAGGGAAGGAAAAAGGAAGGGAGAGAAAACATATAAAGGAGAGAGAATATAAATGATAGAAATGAATTTTTTTTCCTTTATTTTTTTTAGTATGACAAGAGGGAAAGAAAATAAGTGCTCAACTAAATTACTATTTGGTCAATTTTTTAAAATTATTTTAATTTTAAAATAATTTAAAAAATAATTTTAAAATAAGGATAAAACGGTAATTTAACTACTGATGCATGAAATAGGACAGTTTAGAAGAAGAAGAAGAAGAAGAAGAAGAAGAATAAAATTATTTTAATTTTAAAATAATTTAAAAAATAATTTTAAAATAAGGATAAAACGGTAATTTGAAGAAGAAGAAGAAGAAGAAGAAGAAGAAGAAGAAGAAGAAGAAGAAGAAGAAGAAGAAGGCCCCCAAACTATGAAATTATTTTGGGTTTTTCTTGGAACTTTTGTTGAGAGAAGGGGAAATTATTTTGGGTTTTTCCTGGAACTTCTGTTTAGAGAAGGGGAAAGAAGAAGAATAAGAAGAAGAAGAAGAAGGCCCCAAACTATGAAATTATTTTGGGTTATTCTTGGAACTTCTGTTGAGAGAAGGGGAAAGAGAAGGGGAAAGACCTAAAAGTTTCCTTTCATTAAAAAAAAAAAAAGAGTTAAAACACCAATAATACCCCTTAAATTCGGTTCATGTGCGTATCATGTGTTGATTTTCGTCACATCAGCCGTTTGTCAAATAGGGTTAATTACAATAGTAAAGCAAGTTCAGGGAGCTATTTGTCAAAATTAAAAATTCGGGAGGCAATTTGCTAAACCACGAGAAGTTCAATGGATAAATGTGTTAAAAATCCAAACGTTAAATTTTTTTTGAGTTTTCAATTGTTGGTTGGGAGAATGTAGTAAATACCAGATTTATGAAACTAAATTAAATAAATAACAAATTTTGAAACCTTTTGAAGTAAATCGCAGTTTATCACGTAAATATTTCATTTACGATTAGTAAAAAGATATTTTTCCACGTAAATTTTCTTTTTGCGACCGATAAAGATTTTTTACCATGTAAAATTTTATTTACCAGTTGTAAATGAAACATTGACATAAACTACTATTTACTCTAAAAAATTTTAAAATATACTATTTACTTAATTTAGTTCCATAAATCTCCCTATTTACTATAATTTTCCGTCATAAAATGGCGTCATCTTAAGATACTTTTGCATTGTCTGGTGGAAGAATCTCATCACCAACCCATGCCAATGTCTTCGCATTGGCATGATCCGAAAAAAGAGGTTTATGCTATTAATGCCCCAAAAGAGTTGAATTATCAGAAAATGTGAGCAATAGACGGTTTGTCATGTTTTTATATAGATCTATTTTTTTTATGTTATTCTAAATGAATTTCTAAAGATGTGAAATATGAAAGAATGGAGAATAATTCAATTGCATTAACAAATGTTTGTACAGAGGTTGTATATATACACACAAGTCTAACGGCTATAAAATATATATCAGGAAAAGACTTCTTAAGTTAGGAAATCATATCCATGATTTGGGGAAGATCACTGTGATAGTCTAGCAGATTTTAATCCCTTGGAAATAGCTATGCAGGCAACTCTGTTTGAGTCTAATGGTTTGATATTCTCCAACGGTAGTGCATGATTTTTTCCTTGAATAGTGCAATCAGATTGAGGTATCTCTTCAATTCTAAATAATTACATGTTGTCGTAGTCTTTCGTTATATTTTTATTAATTGAATAATAATTGTTTGTTTTTAATTGGAGTAACATAAATAATATTTTTTTTTATCCTTTTGAATGGTATTTTTATTTGTTTTCCCTTAAGAAATTCAGGAACAACTATCATAAGAAGACCTTTGCTAGAGAGAATTCTAGAGGAAGAGAGCGGGGAAGAAGCATAATAGTTTGGCCGGCTACCGGAAGCACGTTTCCAGTCAGCCAGCCTCCAAATCACGGTAGTGCATGATCTTTTTTTTAGTTCTTTGTGAAATAGAGGCAATCATTATGCCCGTGTTGGTATTTGTTTTCCCCACAAATAGTTAGATCAGTTTAGGTTTTGGTTGTTTTTGTTGTTTTTGGTCATGCTCTCCCACCAAGTTATAACTTTGTGTGGATTTTGTGTTTTTTTTTATCTTCTATATGTCTTTAGCTAGATCTCCCGTACTGACTTTCAGAAATCAGTCTTTGCAGAGAGTTTGCCATTGCCATTTCGGGAGAGCCAACTGTGGAGGGAGAACTAAATGAGTTAAGAGAAGTGCTCCAAATTGTGTCCATTATCAGACCTTAGATCCCTATACTAGGATGCCAACGGATCTACTAATTTTAATTTATTGTATTAAGTTTTCTGTATTGAGTTCTTTATAAGTTTCATGGTTTTTTGATTAATGAATTTTTTTTTTTTTTTTTCATTATAAAAAAGGCCTTTGCCAAAAAAAAAAAAAAAAAAAAAAACTATCATAAGAAGACCTACTAAAAAAACTAACATAAGAAAACAACAAACATAGTAAATAAAAAAAAAGTTAACTCTAAGAAACTAAAGCCTCGTTCGCTTCGAGGATTCGAGTTTTCAATTTGAGTTGAGATATAACATTTTCTTAGAACTTTTAACTGTAGTAAAAAAAAATATATATATATATATATATATGTGATATTTTCAAAAAAATTTTAACTGTGAAAACTTAAAACTAAAAATTTAAATTAGTGAATGAACGAGGCTTAAATATTAGATACTTAAGCAGATATTATCGCTCCAGTTCATCCACTCTAACAGATTTGTTCACCTTTTTAATCAGCTGAGAAAGGGTGATAAACAATACAACTCAAGGTAGAAAGGAAATGAGGAATTTTATGTGAAAAATGAAAAATTTAACTTAATATGAAAATGCTGGCCATTTTTTTTTTTTTTGACTTTGATATTAGACTCTTATATTAGTGACAACAAAAGGTAGATGGAGTATTTCCACTCATCATTCGAATTCTGTAATTTTTTTTTTCTTTTCTTTCCTAATAATTTCTGTTTTTTACCCTAATAAATACATTTCACATTTTTATTGGTAGTTCTAAAAAAAATATTCCCAGAAAAAAATAACAATAAAAGATTAACGGTATATTTTTTTTCAAGCGCAAAAGACAAGATAGTTTGATAACCGTCGCTCAACCGTTTTATCTACCAGGAGGCACGTCAGAGGAACAGGTGTTTCTAATCTGAAAATCATTATTCGTAATCGTTGCTTCTATACACTCATTTCTCCAACAAAAAACACACATTAATCAATAAGTCAGCACCCAAAAAAAAAAAAAAAAAACTAACAATCCATAAACAGCATGATGGAGATAAACGATGAGTACCCATCACGGACGGCACCATCGGCACCACCAGAGCCTCTGGTGCCAATTGTTCCAGTTGTTTCGTACTCTGAACTATACGGCCAATACCCCAAAACCAAGCCTACTTCTAATAATGTGAATACTTATGATCATCCTCCTCCGGTTCCTTGGTCGACCGGTCTTTCTGACTGTTGTGACGATGTTGGCACTTGTGAGTACTACTACACCACAATAATAATAATTTTTTTTTCTGACTTTGATTTTGAATGGTTTCAACGGATCGAGTGTTGAACTGTTGTGGCGATTTGGTTAGCGGGTATAAATTAGTGTGGTTTGAACTTTTGTGCATATTGATTTGACATAGTTCTTTTCTCAAACGGGAAAGGAAGAAAAATATAAAAATTGTAACGTGAAGGCCTATGTGACACTGTCTAGAATCTCTATTTGTGCATGTGAATAATTTTTTTAGCCATATCTTCAGAACAATTTACACGAGCGCGTAGCAATGCACTTAATCATTGTAAGTCATGACTCATGTTACTATTTATAAGCGTAAAAAAAAAAAAAAAAAAAAAAAACCTTTACATAGTCAAAATTCGTAGGGAAGATGTTAATCAATGTTCATATAGATGCGTTTTGAGAAAATTGTAGGTTAATGAATCAAAACAAATGTTACCTGTGAGTCAACAAAACTCTAATGCTAAATTAATGATATCGATCGATCTACTTCTAACAGAGCAATCTATTATCAATTTCATCATAGATATCATCGAAATTAAAAAAAAAAAAAACTAATACATCATAATAAACTAATTCTATAATATTTGCTGACAAAAAAAAATCTATAATATTGTGTATTCAAGTGTCAAACTCAATAAATTAATTATTTATGCTGCAAATGTGATATCAACTATTTTTTAGTAGTGTGACTAGACATGTTCCTCAGTATACCAGAATTTGGAAATTAATGAACCAAGTTCTAGCTTTTGCCAAACTGATGACGTTCATAAAAAGCGGAATAATCATATTTGTGTTCAATTTCAGGTTGCCTAACATGCTGGTGTCCATGTGTCACGTTTGGACGTATTGCAGAAATCGTTGACCAGGGGTCAACTCGTAAGTGATTTTTCATACAAAACTATTACGTATACATACATGAGAACATACACACACCTTGTCTACGATCCATCATATTGATGATCTCATTGTAATATGTGGGGATAAAAACGTGACATGATATTTATTTAACGTTACGGATCTTAACAATAATTATGATCTGCGAATTGATTGATTTTTGGAACTCTACATAACTTGTTGTGGGCCTAGCATGTGGAGTAGGTGGAGCGCTGTACACGTTGATAATGTGCGTGACTGGTTGCTCGTGCATGTATTCATGCTTTTATCGGTCCAAATTGAGGGGCCAATATTTCTTGGAGGAAAGGCCCTGCACCGATTGTTGCATTCATTGTTTCTGCGAGGGATGTGCTTTGTGCCAAGAGTACAGAGAACTCAAAAACCATGGCTTTGACATGTCTATAGGTAATAGCTAGCTTCTCTCTCCTAATTCTTTTCTTTATATATAACGTCTGTCTATTTCTATGCTTGCCCTATGCAGTTTAACTGGTTAAAGTAAAGCTATTGTATTTTTTTTTTTGGGCCCCCCCCGTTTTTTTTTTTTTTTTTTTTTTTTTTGGCAATATGCGTACGTTGGTTGATAATATAACAAGTCAGAAGCAGTGCTATGATTTATCAGGTAGCATCTTGGTATTATTGATCATATTACAAGTCAGAAGTAGTGCTATGTTTCTAGGTTTAGATTAAGTTGACATTATGATATGGCTGTTCATTGGTTTTAAAAATGTCATCCATTGTAATAATGAATATGATTTAAAAAAAAAAAATAGAACTAATTATGAGTGGACGTTATAATATTATGTATGCACCATTAGTACTCACATATTAAAATCATGGAATTAGCGGTCATTGTGTCACCAACAAAAATACTTTTAAGCAAGTTTGACGTATGTCAGTAATTTGTAGTTCTGCATCTGTTAACCACTGGCCAACAAGTATATATATAAACTGAATGAGGACATAACACTTGGAAACATTGGAATCAAAAGTCATAACAATCATTAATGAAAATAGTACCATCTGAACAGTACATTATTTCTGTAGATAGTGTTTTTTTTTTTTTTTTTTTTAGCAGAGCTGGGGCTCGCGGAGCCCAGCTCGCTCCTTGTGGAGCCTAGCCCCTATGAGATGCGGAGCCGGGGGCGGCTCCCAGAGCCCAAGTATTTTCCTTATTCTTATTCTTCTTTTTTTTTTGATTTTTTTTTTTTTGATTTTCCTTTTGATTTCATAGTGTCTACTTTATCCCAATTTGCAAATTATAGGTTGGCATGGGAACGAAGCAAGGCTGAAACGGCTAGCAGCAATGGCTCCGGAAGTCCAAAGAAGCATGAGGCGATAGATAAGCCACAGATGCACATGCAGTCAGTCACATTGAATTTGTAGCCTGTTGGAGAATTTGAGTGTACAAGGTGAAAAGAATTCAGAACATAAGAGAGGGTTTGAGGTGTATAGAAATATATTTTTTTAAAATTTTATTTGCCCTTACTTTTTAAAATTTGTTAATGAGTTTTAATGATAAATTACCCTTAAGATACAACAAACCATTGAATATCTAACAATAATATTGAGTTTCAAAAAATTCAATTAAAGTATGTAAATTTTCTGGAGAATTAATTGTTAATGATTGAGAAAATCCTAAAATTAAATAATGTAAATTTATTTATTTAAGTCAAGGAATTTTTCCAATAATATACTATCATATTTTGTGACTGAAGAATTTATGGAATTAATATCAGTATTCCTAAATTTTGTAGTAAGTTTTATGATGAGTTCATATTTTAAGAACAAGTAAATTCAGTTGATAAATTCTTACCGCAATTAAGGCGGAAGAATTCTCCGTGCATGTATAGTTTGAGAATCCTAATCTCAGGAATCTCTTCATGCAGTATAATGTTAGCAGCGTATAGAGAAACGCTCTGACAGTTAAAGAGAAAACCCTTAATTTCTAAACAGATAAGAGGAAATTAAAGGGGTAGTGTTTCAGTAAAGAAATTTAGATGTAATATGACTTCAGAAGTTGACAAAGTCAGAAACTAAAATTTCCTGTCAACTAAATAAATTCCCAAAAGTTAGTATGAAGTAATAAGAATAGCTATAAGAATAGAACATCAATGGGTGATTACCAAGTGTTCACTAAACCTTGCTTATGTAAGCAATATGACATCAAGTAAGCAATTAGAAATTTAAGTTAGGTAAGATACTGTTATCGACTTTCAGACTGCAATAAGAAAGGATGTGCAGAATACTGTGTTAAACCCAGAAGAGGGTAAACACGTGAATATTAAGGTTAAGAAATGGAAAAGAGTTGAAAGACATCAATTCTAGGGTTTTAAAAACAATCGGAATAAAAAATAGACGGAAAAGGGGTTCGGAAGGCCGAATCTCGTAAATTAGGGTTTTGACCGATTTAAGTGGACCGAGTCAAAATATGTTGACCAAGAATCGACCAAAACGTCGCCCTAAAAAAGTTAGTCAATAATGGTCAAAGTTGACTAAGTTGACCAACTGTCCGAAAAATGCAGATAAAACGCGCACTGGACAAGAAATTAAGCTAAACCAAAATAGGATAATTATTAAATGATCAATGGTTGAGATTAAAAGTAATAAAAGAATGGAGGGAGGAGATTTTGACATGTGGAAAGATAGATGAAGGAATCGCCGGCCAACTTGGTGAAGAAGGAATGGGATATTTTAGTGAATTTTCAAAAAATGGTCCTTAGAAAAGTCAAAATTTGCAACTTGAACCCTTGCCTTTTTGGATGGTCGGTTTATTAATGAAAAAACACAAGAAAATGGTAATTTTTCATGCACAAGAACAGATAGTGACCAGCCAAGAGAGAAAGAAAGAAAAAAAATTCACCAAAGTGAGGAAAAGTGCGATTTAAGCGGAAATCGACGGAATTACTGAGGAATAGCATCATTGGAGTTTGTTCTTCATTCTTTTAAGGTGAGATTTTAGTTTTTCCTCTCCTTTTTCTTACCTTGGCCGAATGGTTTGGATGTGGTAGAGAGTATGGAGAAAGTTTGCTAAGTTGATGATTGAATTTCAATTGATGAAGGAATTGAAAGCTTAGTGATTAAAGGATGAATTTTTGGTTGTTAGATTATGTTTCTAGCAACTTTTGGATATGAAAATCCTTGTGAGAAATTGGATGGAACCCTAGAGTATGGTTCCTAAGTTGATTAAATTGTATGAGAAAGATTGTTAGTTATGATTAGAAGATGAAGTAACGGATAAAACGAGCTAAGGATAGCTCGGGGAAACACATAAAATAAGGCAAAACTCTGCTGAAATTTAGTTAGAGAGTTTGAAGTTAAACCTAGTTCTAGTTCTAGAATTTGAGGCTAAACTTGGTTTTAGTTCTAGGTAGAAGCTTTAAACTATTTTCTTAGAAAACACTGCGTAACGTTAAAATAGTTTTGGTGTTGAATAGTAGAGTTCGTTGAAGTACTCGACGTATAATTTCAGGAAAATATGTTGATTTCAGACTTTGCTAATAAAAAGTAAGGTTATCAGGATTCAATAAGCATAATCTTTAAATTAGAAACAAGGTTTTATAATCCTTTAAGATAGGAAAAAAAGAAGGTAAGCCATAAATAGAGAAATTAGACTTTCTTACAAGCTTGCTAAAATAGAATGACAAGTGATAGTTAATCTCACACTCTTAGTGGGTGTTTATTCTCAGAAACAAGAAAGAAAGAGAACAGACGCTTTGGCGAATAGAGGATTCCACTTCCTAAAACAAGTAAGTATGAATCTCGCCTATAGTATAAATAGATTTTAAAATAAACAGTACACATGAATTATATATGTTAGAGTACATTTCATGTTATAGTATGCTATGCTATGTTATACTGCATACACCTTAATAAGTCAAGAGGAACTAATAAGAATAATTTCAGTTGAGTGCCGTACTAGCCTCCTAGTTGAGAGGTAATCCAGTTTCCGAACTTCCTAGTTGAGAGGTAATTCAGAGTCTCCTAGATGAGAGGTACTTTGGTCCAAGTGAGGCATTCAGTTTAGTTTTAATTACGGAGTAGATAAGGGCCTTATGAACCCTCACGTCACGTATATCGCATGCAATGGTTCGAGCGCTCGGGCCCATTGGTAAGAAAGATAAGACCAGATAATAAATCTATGATAAGAAATCATAACTCAGCATAATCAGTTCATGCATATCATTCATGTGAACTTTCAGTTATTTTGCGAGTAATAGTTTCTAGTTGCTGAGTGAAAGCTCATTTCGGAGTATTTATACTATAGGTAAGCAACTTGCACATAATGCTTGATGGACTGGTGAGGCAGCGGACGAGCGAAGTGGAGGTTGGGGAATGGATACCGCACGCAATTATTTTCGCAATAATTTAAATTTTTCAATAGATTTTTTTGAATATGTCTATGAACTTGTGTTTTGGAAGTTTGTAATATGATTGTTAAGTTTGTGTAAGCTAGCAGGATTTTGAGAAGTAAATATACACCTATGTGTAAATTTATGCTTTAGAAAAGGAATTATTTTTGAAGTATAAACACTTTGCTATATTCAAAAGTGGAAACCAGAATTTATGTTGTTACAATAAGTTTATAAAAAAAGATATGGTTTTTTAAGAGAAAGAAACTTATGTTTAAAATGTTACAGCATTCGTTATAGACTTTTTATTTTAAAAAAAAAAAATGCTACAACATTCTATATAGCCTTTTAAAAAAAATGTACCTCAAATTTTAGGGAGTTTCAGAAAGTATATGTTAAAGTTAGTTTCAATTACGGCCATAGAGTAGGGTCATTACATTAATAAAGACAGAGGTGTCAATTTCATGAATGAATGCATCCTCTTTAAATATTACAACCATTCACATAAAGGTACCTTTTCAATATAAATGTATCTTTTCATGGATTAATACACCTATTACAATAGTTATATATATTGCTAATTGGTGTTCAGATATGTATGAAAACATATTACCAATGGATGTAATGGTTTGAAACTAGATCACATAGACTCATGAAAACATTATTTTCTGCCGAATTTCTATTGCAGCGGATGTTTTCCCACTACAGCCGCAAATGGACCCGAGACCTGGAAACATTTCGGCTGTAGCCGGTTTGGCCGAATCAAAGCAGTTTTTCCGCTGCGGCGTTTTGAAGTTCCTTTAACACGAGTTTTCATGTTTTAATACTCAAACAACTTGTGATCTTGATCAAGACATATTAGAATCTCTCTAACAATCCCTCATTAGATTGTAATATTTCTCCAAAATTAACAACGATAAACACACACATACATGAAGGTATCTTTTGATTTTAACCTCCAATTAGTGACTATACTTCAAAATATTCACAAGACAATAGTGTGCTTTGCATTAAATTGTCTCTTGAGTAAATACCAGAAATATATCACATATGTGTATTCCCAGACTTAAAATCGGTTCTAATCGTTTAGCACTATTCCGGTCATGTACTCTATCTTGGATTCATGAACATTTACAAGACTAAACTACGGTTTTGTTGGGAACGACACCATTCCTTATGTTCACTTAGGTGAAGTTTTGAATTATATCTCTAGCTATTATGAGACTCAAAGTCCATTAAGAGTATAAACTCAACCTCAACCTCAACCACGTAGCTATTTTACACCGACATCTTGGAAGGGACTAGTTAAATTTCGGTGCTAACCCGGTCACATAAGAATGACTTGTTCTTACCCATTTAACTATGGAATACCGGTACAACTACTACATAGTTGGGTTACCATCATCGGTGACTCTTTTAAAGAAAGATTTCAGTCCTATTCCACTAGATGTTTCTACGACTAAGTCTCTTGAAAGACCTTTCGTCAAAGGATCCACTAGGTTCTTATTTGTCCTAACATAAACAATATTGATAACACCATTAGTTATTAATTGTTTCACATATTCATGTCTTAAGCTAATATGTCTAGATTTCTCATTATAAACTTTGTTATAAGCTCTAGACAAAGTTGCTTCACTATCACAGTACAAAGAAATAGCTGGCATCGGTTGTGGCCACAACTCAATATCAAACAATATATTTCTAGCCATTCTGCTTCTTTGCCTGCAGCGGCAAGTGCTATAAACTCACTCACCATCGTAGAATGAGTTATGCATGTTTGTTTCTTAGAATCCCAAGAAACGGCTCCTCCTGCAATTGTGAAAATCCAACCTGATGTGGATTTGTTATATCACTTACACTTGTTACCCAACTTGCATCTGAGTACCCTTCAAGTACCGTCGGATAGTCATTATATGACAAACTTAAATTAAGGGTTCTTTTAAGATATCCAAATAATCTACCAATTGCATTCCAATGTTCAATACCCGGG